GTTGTTCCTTTCACGTTAATTGCCTAGATTTTACCTCTTGATTGTAACATTATGGAGACTGACTTGAAGAGTGGTTGTCTTGTCTGAAAGATCTTTTCTGCATGGAAGGCAAGATGGAATTAGTTTAGAGATAGTAGGAACTGCAGATGCTGGAGAATCTGAGATAACAAGGTGTAGAGCTGGATGAACACAGCAGGCCAAGCAGCATCAGAGGAGCAGGAAGGCTGACGTTTCGGGCCTAGACTCTTCTTCAGAAATGGGGGAGGGGAAGGGGATTCTGAAATAAACAGGGAGAGAAGGGGAGGCGGATAGAAGATGGATAGCGGAGAAGGTAGGTGGAGAGGAGACAGACAGGTCAAAGAGGCAAGGATGGAGCCTGTAAAGGTGAGTGTAGGTGGGGAGTTAAGGAGGAGATAGGTCAGTCCAGGGAGGACGGACAGGTCAAGGGGGCGGGATGAGGTTAGTAGGTAGGAGATGGGGGTGGGGCTTGAGGTGGGAGGAGGGGATAGGTGGGAGGAAGGACATGTTAGGGAGGCGGGGACGAGCTGGGCTGGTTTTGGGATGCGGTAGGGGGAGGGGAGATTTTGAAGCTTGTGAAGTCCACATTGATACTGAGACAACAAGGTGCAGGGCTGGATGAACACAGCAGGCCAAGCAGCATCATAAGTGTTCATCCAGCCCTGCAGCCTTTCTGCTCCTATGATGCTGCTTGGCCTGCTGTGTTCATCCAGCCCTGCACCTTGTTGTCTCGGATTCTCCAGCATCTGCAGTTCCTACTATCTCTGATTCAATTTTAACTCCACATTGATACCATTGGGCTGCAGGGTTCCCAAGCGGAGTATGAGTTGCTGTTCCTGCAACCTTCAGGTGGCATCGTTGTGGCACTGCAGGAGGCCCAGGATGGACATGTCGTCTGAGGAATGGGAGGGGGAGTTGAAATGGTTCGCGACTGGGAGGTGCAGTTGTTTAGTGCGAACCGAGCATGGGTGTTCTGCAAAGCAGTCCCCAAGTCTCCGCTTGGTTTCCCCGATGTAATTTAGAATGGTTTCGTGGTCAGCTGCGATATGAAAACTTTGCATTTTAACTTAATAATCTCCATAAAATTAAATTCTTCATAAACATATGTACTTTCTTGGATTGTAGCACCTTTCATGACCCAGGGACATCTAAAGTGCTGCATAATGAATTAACCATTCAGAAATATATTTATTTTACTGTAGAAAATGCAGCTGTGTTTTTAACTAGCAAGGCACCACAGAAGAAGTGATCAAATAATCTGTGTTGGTATTGTTTAAAAGGGTAAATGTCGGTTAGGATGTTAGGAGAAGACTCCTGCTGCACTTTAAATAGTTCTATTGGATCTTTGTCTCCCCCGAGAGGACATGACTTGGCAATCTCCATTTTTAATAAAAAGTTTCCTAGGGTTGTTTAACTCCTCATGGAAGATGGCACCTCTGATGATACAGCACTTCCTCAATGCATAGGAGACAAAGACATTCAAAATAGAAGCCTATGTTTGTTTAGTAGTATAGTTATACATTATGACTGTTCCTAAAGGAATTTTATTAAGTAACTGCAATATCAGATCAACTCGAGTAAGAAGGCAGCAACTGGATTGAGACCGTGAGTACTTCATTCAGCTTCTACAATGTCAGTCTGCTCTCCCAAGTCAACACCTTACAGTGTTCAATAATATATCACTGTTATACGAAACTTTGACGATGTTTATCAAGTTGGCCACCATATTTCTTAGCTTAACCGTTGAATAATTCTGCTTTGTACTCGATTTCAAATGAACAGGAGCTCCTTGTGCAATGGTCAGCTCACTTAGCATTACCTTATGAGAGAGTCCTTTAAAGAGTAACTTTGAGGCTGTATCCTTCAGAGGTAGGCTGCTCTTCGCCTAGCCAGTAATTCCTATTTCTGGTAAACAACTGGCTACAGATTATGCATATTGCAGTTCATAATTGTACAGATATTCACAGCTTCAATAATCCTTTGTGTGCTAGCAGACTGAACTGCAGCTCAATGGATAACATTTCTTAATGTATATTCTGTGATGACTGTGCTTTTTAAAAGCCCATTTAAATCTCTACAGCACTTCAAGGTGCAGAAGAAATGATGGTTGGGAGACACATAAGTAACCTGCTTCAGCAATGGCTTTTTTAAAAATAAAATGCTTTATAGGTTCTCAGCTTGGTTTTATTGCAATTTAGTTTATTTAGTGTGTTCGTTGTCTTCACAATTTGAACTGTATTTTCTCAATTTGATATACTGCTCCAAGTCAAATAAAAACAGTGATCTGTTTCTAGACTTCACTGAACATTGTCTTTGTTTAATACAGTTATGTCAGGATAAATTTATTGTTTTTGTACTGATTGGTATATTTGCTGACTCTGCATAAGGGAATATTTTGACCTTGGAATATATTTACAGTGTGCGTCATCTCCAACAGCATCTCCAAATAACTGTGTCAGAGCTTTCTGAATTGTTTCTTGTTGAAACTTCTTGAATCTCAATATTGATTTGTCACTAATATTTTAATGACAAATTTGTTTTTATTTTCCTACTCTCATATTTTGATGAAGGATGATAAGAGAACAGTGGAATGAGAGTAGGCTATCCAGCCCCTTATGCCTGTGCTAGCATTGAGTTAGGTGGTGGCTGATTTCAGTAGCTTACCTTGGTTTCATAACTCCTCAACCTAAATCTAACAAAAATGTACTCAACCAAGTTTTGGGAAAACAGCTACTGCCTTTGCTCAACAAAAATTCCTATTCCCCAGCAATTTGCTGCACCTTTCTTGCTGGCAGCTGTAAGGCTAAAATATACTGTTCACAACTTTGGCATTATATTTGATTCTGAAACAAACTTCTAATTACAACTTCATCACAAGATAGCATAGTTTCACTTCTAACATCACCCAACGCTACTCCACCTCATTTTAAAGCCTCATTGATGTCTTTTGTTGTCTTTAGACTTGCTTATTCCAGTGTATTTCTCACTGAAATCCTATCTTTTGTTCTCTGTAAATTTGGCTATCCAAAACTCTGCAGTCCCTGTCCTTTCTCTTACCAAGTCTTGCTCACACACCAACCATTCTCACTGACTTACATTAGCTTCTGGTTAAGCAAATACATGATTCAAAAAAAAAACTCATCCTTGTTTTCAAATCAGTTCATGGCCTTAACCCTTCCCATCCCTGTACTCATCTGATTCTGGATTCTCGGACACCCCCGATTTCGAAACTCTGCTACATTTTCAGCCATAACTTCAGCCACTGCAGCCCTGGTGTCCATTGTTCCTTCCCTAAATCTTCATATGCCTCTACCTCTTCTTGAAACCTATCTCTTCTGTACCTCATTTTGTGACTTGGTTTGGCTCCTACAGAAAACAAAGTAACTTAACTCTGTATAAGTACAAAGTGGGGATCTGTGAAATTTTCTGTTGATTTGCTATCAATAGCTATTTGTGAGGGACAGTTCCAAATTTCTTGCACTCTTTATGCAAAAGTACTTTCTGATTCCCCACCATGCTTATGGACTCTAAACAGTATTTGCTAAAACACTACATATAGGCTTATCAGCAAAATCGAAGCCCATGGATTTAAAGGGATGGTCTCAATGTGAATATAAAATTGCTTTTTTAAAACAGGAAATAATTGTGATCTACCTGAGTTTTAAGAGTGGAGGATGGTGCATTGTGGAGTTCCCTGGGGATTGATACTAGAATCGTTGCTTTTTTTGATCCATTGACTGAAGTTGATTTGGATGTTGTTACAAAGACATTTAATATTGCTTGGAGGATTAAAATTCTGAAAGATTCTGGAAAATGAAAGGTGTTTAAAGTTTTATGGGCATAAAAGGAGTGATTTCTTTAAAATATATCATGGAAATTTCACTGTGGACATTGGAGATTTTTTTTTTAACAAGACTTCCCAGAAATCCATAGTCTATAGGCATGAGGTTGGAAAAGCACAGCGGGTCAGACAGCATCAGAGTATAGAGAGGTTCAGAAAAGCTTTGAGGTATTTCATTTATGTGGACAAATTGGCAATACTGGATTATTTTTCTTAGAGTAGAGAATGTTGAAGGATTTGCTGGAGATGGTAAAGATCTTGAGAGAACTGAACTGAGTTGAGTGGGAGAAACTTCGATTGAAATGAACCAAGAGCCACAAGGGAAAATATTTTCACTGCGTGTAACATTAGGGACCTGAATGCATTGCCAGTGTGTGTGGAGGCATTTTCAATTGTTGCTTTGTAAAGGGCATTGGATCATTACCTAGGAGAAAATTTGCAGAGCTTTGAGGAGAAGTCAGGAGAATGGGACCACCTCACTTCTTGAGAGTCGCCATAGAAATGATGGATCCAGTGGCTTTGGTTTGTGCTGTAACCTTTCTTTACTATCCTACAGTTCTGCAGTAACGCATGTTCCAGCAACGCAAATTAGCTATAATGCAATTGACAAACGGGGAATGCTATTTCAAAAACATGAACTTGTGTTAGCTATAACACGATTCCATCGAGTACGTATCGACATCGTGGGCTTTGTCAAAGGAAAATTTCTTTTTTTTCGATCCTTGCAGATGGTGTAAATGTTCAGAGTAAATCATAATGAGCTCATTTGAAAAAGGTAATTGGATTGCATGTCATAAACCTCAAATAAAATATCACACAGAAAACAACCGTCTTATTAGGAAAATATGTAAAGTCTTAGTTTGAAGAGTTTATGCTGAACACATTAAATGCAAAAAGATGAAGTATAGTCAAAAATAATGAGTGCAGTTAAAATATGCACCTTTGTGTGTAGTATTTCTGCCTAGATTTTGTTACATATTTAATATGTAAGAACTTTTGAACTTTCTCATGTAAATCATTTATACCAAAAATTATCTGTGTTACAACTTGCTCTTTTCCAGCACTATTTTGAATACAGTTTACTCAGGTTTACAACGCAGTTTAATCCTACAATTAATTTCAATGTCATTGGGCTACACAGGAAAGAAAGGTCCGATTCCTCTGCTTCACTTGTCTGAAAATCTATCCAGAAGTCTGTGCTGATGGAATGTCAGATCAGATCAGCAATGGGGTAGGCTGTGATGCAGACTATGTTGCAGGTGAATAGATTTTATTTGATTATAAGTGTCGAGACTCACACAAATGACTGGCATGGCACCAACACTTATAGGAGAGTGGTGAGAAAGAATTTTGAGTGATTTTTTTGGTGGTCTGCACCTAACCCCACTTTTCCCATAGGCCCCGTTATTTCAATAGTGCGATTTTCTATAATGCTATGTTGCGTAGGAACACAGCTATCACGTTATAGCAGAACCCCCTGTACTGGCTTTCTGATGGCTCATATGTCTAAATGTTCAGTCACTCTGCCCCGTTAATAGCTCATATAACTTCCCCACAATTTAAGTTGGACTGATCAGTCTACAATTTCCTTGTTTATCTGACACCTTTAAATAATGGAGCAAATAAACTGTGTATGGAAGATAATGACTTAAATACATCATGGGTTATGACATCAGTAAGTTAAACATCATTGTAGTTTTTCAAAGAATACAAGTAAAAATGAAATCACAATGATTTTATTGGAGACAATGTGGCATAGTGTATTGCAGAATGCTGTTCATTCCTAATGTCTCTATTATATTATCTGCATCCAAGATGGGGCGTTCCACTCCCGAACATCCCAGATGTCCCCTTATTTCAGGGACTGCAATTCCCCCACCCCCTTCAGTGGTCGAAAATGCTCTCGATCGCATCTCTTGCATTTCCCGTACCTCTGTCCTCACATCCCCTCCCCGCAACAAAAACAAAGACAGAATCCCCCTTGTCCTCACTTATCACCCCCACTAACCTCCGGATTCAACGTATTGTTCTCTGCCATTTCCGCCACCTGCAATCTGACCCCACTATGAAGGATATATTTCCCTCTCCACCCCGATCTGCCTTCCGTAGGGACCGCTCTCTCCGCGACTCCCTCATCCACTCCACACTCCACACTAGCCCCACGATCCCCAGCACCTTTCCCTGCAACTGCAGGAAGCGCTACACCTGCCCCTACACCTCCCCCCCCGCATCTCCATTCAAGGAACCAAAAAAACCTTCCACATCAGACAGATGTTCACCTGCACATCCACTAATGTAGTCTATTTCATCCGATGTAGCCTCCTCTACATCGGTGAGACCAAACGGAGGCTCGGAGACCGCTTTGTAGAGCGCCTGCACTCTGTTTGTGACAAACGACAACACCTTCCAGTCGCGAGCCACTTCAGCTCCCGCTCCCACTCCCTGGATAACATTGCCATCCTGGGCCTCCTCCAGTGTCACAATGACGCCACCTGGAAACTGGAAGAGGAGCCCCTCATATTCTGCCTTGGGAGCCTACAACCCAATGGTCTCAATGTGGACTTGACTAGTTTCCAAATCTCCCCACCACAGCCTCATCCCATGACCAACCCTCTCTCTCATCCCCGCCTCCTTGACCTGACACAACCTGTCCATCTTCTCTCCCACCTATCAACTCCTCCCACCTCACTGACCAGTCCCCACCACTCTACCTGCACACACCTATCACCATCCCACCTACCTACCCCAGCCCCACCCCTCCTCTCTCTATTTATTTCAGAGCTCCCTTCCCCTTCCCCATTTCCGAAGAAGGGCCCCAACCCAAAATGTCAGCTTTCCTGCTCCTCTGATGCTGCCTCGCCTGCTGTGTTCCTCCAGCTCTGCAGTGTTATCTCTTATATTCCAGTTCTGATTGGGATGGAAATTTTATCTTTGACATTAAAGGCTGAAATAAAAAAAGCATAACTTTGAATTTAAAATGTGCTGCCTAATCTTAGTCTAAATTCCAATGAATCAATCTCTAGCACAAAATGAATATTCTATCCTCATAGAGCAATGTGATTAGGAATTTTTAACTTTTAATGTTTTAAGACCAGTCTGAGGTTGAATTCAAGCTTAGCTGCATCAACCCTGTGTCACACCTAGTCTGGAAAGACTTGATTCTGCCACAGAATTCACAATAGAAAACAAACTTCTGTCTTGACCAATAATGTCAGTTGATTTAATTTCAAACATGACCCTTCAGTATTTATAGTTGCAGTAGAGTTCTGCACGCTGCTGGACATCCCAAAGGAACTAGTATTGAATCAGGAACATTGCTCAAGATTGACTTGATGAAACTAGTAATATGGAAAATAATGACATTCAAGTCATATAGGAAAGATGTTGTTGAACTTGAAAGGGTGCAGAAGAGATTTACAAGGATGTTGCTGGGTTTGGAGGGTATGACCTATTTGCAGAGGCTGAATAGGTTGGGGCTGTTTTCCCTGGTACTTCAGAAGGTGAAGGTGACTTTATGGAGGTTTTTAAAGTCATGAGGGGCATGGATAGGGTGAATATCCAAGGTCTTTTTCTCAGGGTGGGGGAGTCCAAAACTAGAGGGCATAGTTTAAGGTGAGAGGAGAAAGGTATAAAAAGGACCAAAGGGGCAACGTGTTCACGCAGAGGGTGGTGTGTGTGTGAAATGAGCTGCCAGAGGAAGGAGGCTGGTACAATTACAACATTTAAAAAGCATCAGAATGCATATATGAATAGGAAGGGTTTAGAGGGATATGGGCCAAATGCTAGTAAATGGGACTAGATATGTTTAGGATTTCTGGTTGGCATGGACAAGTTGGATCAAAGGGTCTGTTTCCGTGCTGTACAACTCTGGCTGTAAGTGACATCTTTAGGACTAGTGATCCCTCTAACTGCTTGGAGATACCACACACTCTGACACATGAATTTATACACCAGTTAACTTTTATTGTTGGGAAATGGCCAGAAATGTAATTAACGATGGCGTGATTGAATACTTCTAAATATGTTCATTAGATTAGAGGGCATCAGTATGAATTTACTGGAATGATACCTATGCTTCAAAGGTTACATTTATGAGGAAAATGACATCAATTGATACTGCTTGGAACTTAGAAGCTTGTGGATGATTTCAGATATTTTTTCAAGATATTAAAAGGCATAATTAGGGTTGATAAATGATGGTTATATCTGCTGATTGAGGAATCTAGAACCAGGAGGCAGGATTAAAAATTAG